TTTTGTCTGCATGATAGCTGGCTGGTAGCTTCCCGGAACGATGCCTATTCGTTACTGGTAGTTCAGCTGGCATGCATCTGTTGCATGTTTTTTTCATTTATGTATTACTGTGCAGTAGCTGAGATGGTTTCTACCTCTAGTAATCCTGTGTAATAATAATAATAGTAATAATAATGTTGTTCATGATGACGATGACGATGCTGCTGCTGCTGATGGTAATGATGATGCAGTCATCGCACATCGTTCGGAAAATTCTCTGACAACTAACTGTAATGCATCTGCGAACTCTTTCGTAGTGTTTTGTGTGAGGGCATCAAAGTCACCAAGTGTTTGTCTTCCTCTTGTTTCTGTCTCCAACATTCTGCTTTGTCTCCTAATTTTCTCTATACTGCCTTCTGTAGCCTGATAATTCTCGACCGTCCTATCACTTCAAATCCTTCACCAAATACACGGACTGTGCGTTGTTCTGCGCAGATATTTGGTCTTACCTCTTCATCGTGACTTACAGCATTGCTTTTGTATTGCATTGTCAGCATACTCTGTCTGTCGCCCTAACTCAAACTTGGGCAAATCTGATGTCAGTTACCAGTTGACTGCGCATATTTTGTGACTGGATATCGGTTGTAGTTACAGTTTAAGCACACCTCCCTATTTAGGGCACAGTCGGTTGTACCTTTGCCTCTACCGCCGCGTTCACGTTCTGTCTAGTGGATTACCATTGGTGCACCACATTTGGTCGCTCACTGGCTCGCTGTCCAGCTTACCACGTTACCTCTTCGCTCATGCTTTAGATCTGTCCGTGCATAGGTGTGTATTCAGTATGGCCATCTCCCACGACACAGCTGCGCGCTTGCGCACGTTTATCCTACCCCATGCCAGGGATGTCGAAGCTTAGTTGCTGCAGCCGAAGCTAGCTTGCCGAACAACCTCCCCGTGGTGCCAACTGGGTCGTATGGCTTAACCTCGTTCCAGCAAATGGTTTAGTGGCAGTGTTTCAAAATATGGTAGGTTTCTGCCTGGTAATCGTTCGTCTTATAAAAAATCACAAATGTCAGTTTGACAACACTGACATGGTGGATGTAACTCGCCACTAAATAAGTCACTGTCTCTTACCGTTCCGGTTTATCTTGCCCAGTTCACAGGCGTCAACCATCCACTTCGAAAACTTCCTGGAATCCCTTCTTGCATTGGCAACCCGATCATACACAATCGCAAATGCATCGTCCCATTTACAAATTCAATCACATAAAAATCCGTGAGAGTATTTGTATCTCGGGATGCGAATGAAGGTATGCGGGTGTTCTCCGAGGTGGCTGATTTGGCTGCAGACGTTTCATCATCAGACTAGACGACATCATCAGTGCGATTTATGCGGGCCACTTACAGATCCAACCGACCGAGGCCAACTAGCTGTTCCTAGCTGCTCTATTGGTGATCACAAAGGAAGGCGACTTTGTAATAATTTTAGTTTTCGTATTCGATACTCTCGCTCTCCATGTATCTTTTATATTGCGGCATAACTAGTTGCATCGTGTTTCCAGCTAATATGCAATAATGATGATGACACAAGGCGGTGCTTGGGCCGTAGCCCCCTCCACACGTTCGCGAGGGCCGTGCATCCCGTCTTCCTCAGCAACAACCAACTGTCTCCTGGAGACAGCGTAATCGAGGTATCAGCTTCGACAAGTCGGCATCTTGTCGATCTTCACCTCAAGCGTTTCTATAGTCACCGTCTGAAATGCAACACGATTAATTTGGAGGATAGCACACGTACAAACCAACTGCAGCGATGATGTGATGAACGTGTCACATCAACTGCAGTATCGACGTGGTTTATTAAACGGAGCCGGAAGCGGTTTTGATGTTGCTTGCTTATTCAGCTGACACATCGCCCTTTCGACGTTGGCTTACCAGACCAGCTTGACTGAGGCACTGACAAACGCATGTGTTTGACATCGATGGGATTGACTTTAACGGTGTCTGTCGCTTCCGTATTCGGCGTTTATCTTCCACATGCAACAGTGCTTTCTCCTGCACCTGGGCAATCGCCCTCGTGATCTACTCTTGCCATTCGTGCCGATCCACTATCTGATTTCCAACACCTGAAGTCCACATTAGTTCGTAAAAAAATTCACCTTGATTCTGTCCTGACAATGTAACTTCGGTTTTTCCACGTTCCGCTTTCCTGCACTAGGTTGTCCATGTAGCAGCTGCTTGGATATCCGCGTTGAATCCATGCGACGAACATGCCCGAGCCACTTCAGCGGCCGCAGCAGAATTATGCCATCACTGCATACAAGCCACTGCGGTGCAGCACTTCCGTGTCAACAACTCGGTCACCCCAGCCGGTGCGCAGAATACGACGCAGACACTTTTGATGAAAGCGCCTCAAGTAACAGATCTTCTTTTGAGTAAGCGAACACGTTTCACTGCCGTATAGAAGAATGGACAGCACCGTCGACCGGTGTACATTCGGATTCGTCCCAACAGTAAGCTGGTGATTCCTCCACACACCACATTCCAGCGTGCCAAATGCCGTAGTCGCGTTCGATACATGGATGCGCAGATCGGTAAAGATTACTCAGTTACCAAAACGTTGGTACCACTCCTTAACTACGACGGGCACCTTCCTGGTGAAGGCTGAGAAAGTCAAACAGTCTTGCTTGTGTTGATGGTGAGCCCGAACTTGGCCGCTGTCCAAACGACAGCCGAAATCAATGGAAAACCAATGGTTCTGTGTTTGAGGCCTGCTACCTCCACCTGCTGAGACCAAATGAAATCGAAACGCGTATTATACAGTGTTTTCGGGCGGACAACAACTAATTTCCATCTTTCGGCTATAGTCCCAGTGCTCGTATTGATCAAACTTCACTTCGGTGTGAATCACGGTCTACATTGAGATTGCGCATCTTAATCCATTCACACGAAGACTTCAAAATGACCCCCCCAATCAAACAGTCTTGCTTATGTTGATAACGCGCCCCAACTTGGCCGTTGTCGAAACGAGAATCGAAGTCATATGCTGCAACTCACTAGCGCTGTGTGCAAACGCCGGGCAATCGTTAGCAATCAGCTACATACGAATGGTTGTCTCACACACACTAGAGTTTCTCTCCTAAACGACGGATTTTCAGCAACCCAACATCACTACAGTGCTCCTCATGGTCACCGTAATCACAAGCAGCATCAGAAGTACAATGCATCATTGTATTTAAATAACTGTTAGAAAGGGAAGGTACTACGACGCAATTTTGCTCCACAACACACAGCTGCAACCTAGCCCACATACCACTGTGCAGAAATCTATTAGGCTTGCAAATTTACTCTGGTAAGCAGACTTACCCAACACTAGCCACCTTGCCTCGCGATTAACCATGTAAAATGTCTTGGTGAGGTCTACAAACAGCGAGTTCGTTGACTGGTGTCGCTCTCGGCATTTATCATGCAACTGCGGCCCGAACGGAATCCACATCATTCTTCCGCCACGTTTGGCTTGGCGACATGAGTAACGTTGTAGTCGCGCAGGATTCGTTCGATCACTTTCCCCACACAACTCAGCAAGCTGATACCACGATAATTCGTGCAACATTTCCTGCTCCTTTTGCCCTTGTACTGTGGTAGCACAAGGGCATCCTACAAGTCAACTGGCACTTCCTTTCCAAACCACGCGCGTTGCACCAATTGGTTCAGCGCATGTATCAACGAGGGCCCGCTCTGTTTCAGCACTTCAGGCGGGATCACATCAGCTCTGGTGCATTTGCCGTTTCGCAGCTGAGCAAGTTCTCTCTGCGTCTCACCCATTGTCGCTGTATCGGCAAGACACATCTTCATCTCTTGCTGTTACAACCTTTGTAATGTGATTCAACCAATTTCTCAACGAATGTTCAAGAGACAGTCGGCGTGCGTTCGCCAGATCTGCATTATGCCCGCAGTCTGCGTGCAAGCAGCGGCTGAAATAGCATCTGCCAGCGTCCTCATCGACTACAAGATGGGTCCCTACACCGCCTTCAAGTAGTCAAAAAATTCCTTAGGTTGGCGGCGTTCGGCGTAGCGTTCAATCTGCTTCGATTTCCCCGTCCACCGCGTGTGGTCACTGTGCGTGTATGGTCTTAGAAGGCTGGTTGTTCTCATCACTCGCTCCAGCGCCGTATTGTCCTCATATGGAGGGACTATCGAGTGAGTGGCATTGATGCAAGCCGATTGGCATTTGGCATCACTAGCCAGTTTTTGGTTTGAGCCACTAAGTTTTATTGGACACCTTTCTTCGTAGTTTTGCTGGCCACCTCTCGGTATGCGGGTTTTTCGATGCTGTCCTCAGTTGATTGGAGCCTCAAGGCAGTCAACATTTGACTCGGTACTGTGACATGAGTCTGATCGCGAGACTTACTCATGTGAGCTGATGCTCACCTCATCAGGTCACTGCACTTTAATGACTTGCACATCCGGGGATTCAATCTCTTGCTTTTTGTCCTTTTCTTTGGTCTCTTTTCATTCTTTGCACTTTCCTGTTCCTCCTTTTTCCTTCTGTCGTCATGGCAACTCGATCCCTGGCAGGCATCTGTTTACCTATTTGGGTAGCAAATGATTCAATCTCTCTGTCAGATGCGACTAGACGCAGTGGAGCAATTGCTTGACTGGATTCACTGACTTTCGTAATGACGGGTTTGATTGTTGCTCTGCTTTTGACGACACTTGTCCGCAACCATTGGCTCGCTCACCTGGACTACACACATCTGCCTGTATACAAGGCTAATTATCCAACCATCTCTTATGCTGGTCAGACTAATCACACATCGCTCACTGGTTTCGAAAAAGTGCATCCTCTGGTTGGCGGATTTACACCGGCTTCCTCTGTTTTCATGAGTAAACACTTTTCACCTCTAAGGAACACGTTACCCACATGTTCCAACGCTTTATGTTGTCACACATTTTCATGTTATGCTTTTCCTCAAACTGCATTGCCCAGTCTTCCTCCTATAATGTCAATTTTACATTTGCAGAATGCTGTGATCATTCAATTCATTCCATCCTTCATTTTGTGGTCCGTTTCTGCGTTGCTGCCAATGTTGGTGTACCGTTCGGATCATCTTATCGGTCATTGGACCCGTTCCGGACTCCATCTCACTGTGATGGCTAAAACCTTCACTCTACTCATACTGATGGTTTTGTTGCTTCCATCTCTGGGACTCACATCGTAAGTGCCCCCTCCCACCACATAACCTCATTGACCATCGTTACAAGTCTACATTTCCACATTTGCTGCCCTGCATGCAATCTACCGCAATTTTTTCACTGCTCGATATACACATTTCGGTCTTCCTATTTACTCACACCCCTCTGGACTTTTACTGGAGATCGGAAACGATACATTCGAACCTCCAGCAGAGTTGCCATTTCGTCATGCTACCACGGGTGTATATATATATATGTATATATATATATATATGTATATATATATGTGGATGGAAGAAGAAGAGAGGTGGCCAAGCGATGACTTAGTCCAGGGGAATGAAATCCCTCACTTCGGAGCTAGCCTCGGTTGGAGCGTCACGGCTCCCTGGTTGGGGTCCAAAAGACGGTGAACACGTTTGGCTAGATACACTTGCTGACATGGCAATGAGCCGACCTCAGTGGCTATATGGTGTACAGGGTTTGTGGCCTGTAGAACAACGCTGAGGCTATCCCCACGTAAACCTGTTTCGGATGACCAGAGATGTAGTGGACTACGCCGGCAGTATCGGTTGGCTTGCGATATATGGTCGTCTTTAAATTTCCCCGATTCCTGTGAGCCAGGCAATCAAGAAATGGTGTTGTACCGCTACAAGATTCCAACTCAATAATAAACTGTATCCTTTCGGCAAATGAGTTTAAGTGATCAAAGCAACTCGTACTTCTTATCCCGTTTAACAAGTACAATTTTGTCGTCTACATAGCGCCACCAAACTGTCGGTGAGTTAGTGGTGGTTGTTAACGCCATGTTCTCGAAGTCTTCCATATACAAGTTCGCCAATACAGTAGATATTGGCGATCCCATGGGGAGACCTTGCTCCTGACTGTACAGCTTCAAATAAAAAACGAATCAAGACATGTTAAGACACAGTCATACCCCCGCTTATCTGGTTAACCGTAAGTTTCTTTCGACCACCCAGAGTGACGCCTTCATGTAGACAACGTCTTGCTATTCCTGGAGCCACTTCTTTGGGTACGTTGGTGAAAAGTTAGATCACATCAAAGCTTACCAGCAACTCATCTGGCTACATGTTTATTACCAAGACCACGGCGCGATGGTTATGACAGTATCACTTTATTTGAGCATCCTTTCACCTACGTCTTTCTTAATTTGATTTTATTGTGTAAATAACGGTAGGATTTCAATTTTGATTTCAATCAAAACCCCAACGGTGATGCACAGATGTTAAACGCTCGGACTTGGAAATTGTCTTTTTTGTGAATCTTGCCCTTGCTACAATTTGACCTCTGAAGCCTTATTGAAAATTCATTTGATGTAGGTAGGCATTCGAACTCTTTTTCCTTGGCCCCAGACCAGTATGGCTAACAATGACGCTCACGCCATTTAACACGTCAATCTATCAATGCAAGGTCATAACAGGAGATTGCACTTTCCAGCCCTCTTTTCGGAATTACTCGCACAATTCTCATCGCACGCTCCCGTGCCCACATCCATTCGAACCAGCTCAACGAGTGCTAGCCAGTACACTGCCTTTTAGATCTACTCTGTGGGAATCACCCAGTACCACACGTGTCTGAACGTATACGCTCGATTTTTTTTATTTTACACTGAGGCAATTAATCAAAGTATTCACCTAGGAAGACGTTCGGTAGATGACTCGGATATAATTTTATTTCATCATATTCACCCCAACCATCCTACGGGACGTGTCAAGCACTTGCTTTTATCCCGTGCTAAATCATTGTTCATTGTTCAAGTCGCACTCGCACTCTCAAAGCCGTCGTTTATTTCAATGCGGAACACGGAAAGCAAGTGACATTCAAAAGTTGCTTAAAGTCCACGTGCGCCTGTCCACACATACTACCGGACTATACGACCCATCCTACAGTAGCCCATGCGTTTACCCTTCACCTTCCCCAGACACGGTAATCGATCAACTGTCAACATGACGGTACTTGACATATGGAAAATAGCAGTGATAATAAACGTGGCACCAAAAGGTGTTTCAATGAAGCATATATGCGATGATGCCAAATGTAAGCGTCTTGTAAAAGCAAGGATAGCTTGCGGCTTCTGTTCCAAACACAACCATCCCAATTGCGGTAATCTATCACAACGCAGGCGAGAGAGCGAATCAGCTCTTCAGATGCCTTTTGCTTTCGTCCTACATATTTGACAATACCATTCGTCAAGTGTGTGCTAATACTAGTCTATAAATGCGACCGGTTACTAGAGGAGGTCGAACAGCGGACGAACGTTATGTCCGATTTTCTGGAGGAGCGGATGTACCGGGAAAGAATGGCAAGCTCGAGCCAAAGGATGCGTGCGCAACTCGTTTCCCCAGAATCACCAGCGTCAATCTTTCCATTGCCTATTTCTCATTCCACCTTGCTAGATAATAAGCTGAATGCAGACGGTGGCTCTGGTAATCAAGCAGTCAAGATGACAACCACAATCGGCTGTCAATTAAAACACGTGACAGATCGGCGCACATCAGCTTCTATCCGTATCAGGAATGAAGCAGTTGAACACCAATTTCCTGCAGCCGCAGCCGCATTTGGTGGCCAAACCAGGAGTATAGGTTGACGGTGTGAAGTCAAGTACGTCGACAACTGTAACTATAATCCGAAACCGGACAAACAGTCGAGTTCCACGTACTCCGACGGATCCCACCTCAGCTCAAGAGCTGATGCCTCCGAGCAAATCTGTGGCCTATTCTATACCGGCACACCAGAATCGATCCTTGACCGCCGAAGGCGTGATTTCGTACGCTACCGTTTCAGCTGCTCACGTACAAGGAGTAACACCTCAGTCTATACCAGACGTTAAAAGATAAGGCGCCAAAAGTACCGCAAGTGCGCAAATCACATCCGCAACAACTCAGGCTACAGCCTGTCACAAATCGACCAGCTTTAGACAAGCTTACTGGCAACTGTAGGTTCCGACCTCTAAGGTAAGCTCCTGGACGACAGAAAACAGTGGGACTACTTAAGCCACCTAACAGGAGTCCATACCGAACCGACCGGTACGGTTCTCATCGTACGGCACCCAAAATTCACCCCACTAAGGTAAACCACGGCTCTTACGTGTGACGCTGCAATCAACGGACGAGGTTGAGGCGATTCTCGTGTCAGCCACTCGTATTCGGACTACATCATGCGGTCGCTTTGAGCGAACGCTAGCGAAGAAAACATAACCCGGATGATCGCCAGTAGCTGAAGAACGAAACATGCCCCGGAGCTTCAGGCCTCGGATGCACACAAAGCCCAATCCCATGACTGGGAGGAACAAGAAACAATGATTTTATACGGGTTAAGAATCATTGCTTTACAAGCCTTGTTGGGTGGCCTGGTTGCTTAGGGAAAAACTTACTGAAAAATTGCAGTTAGTATTTATATTGTCAAAAGAATGAACTTATAACGTGTAATGTAGTAGCTCCGCACTCGGACTGTTTCCATAGCTTCGATAGGTGAAAAGAAATAAATCCAAGGCATTTCCGGGATTAGGATGAAGAGCAGCGTAATGTAACAAAATGTAAGTGGCGGAGTGCGTCCTCCAACCGACTTTTAAATATGGCTACCGTGGGTGCAGTAACAACTAACTCGGGGAGAGTGTTCCATGGTTGATACACACGAATGGAAAAGAAATGTCTACGGCACTCTAGACGGCTGTGCTCGTCTGCTACTTTCAAGGAGTGGCCTCTAAGCTTGATATTACTGCTCAGTTGCAGTAAATATCTGCACGCATGATTTGGGTTGCGTAAAATCGAGTGTACCATAATCAAGTCACCACGTAGGTGGTGATACCACCCGCTGAATACTCCCAAACGTTTCAGGTGCTACTAGACCAACAATTTGCAGAGGCAAAGTACAAAGAGCGAAACGATAAATAAAAAGTTCATGTCCGAAAACGACGAATGATGCAGCTACACAGAGAAACCTCTACTCGCTGCTTCGCACCAGTTCTCAGTTCTCATGACATGTTTGGAAGCTGACATTGAGGTTGGTTCAGTTCAGTAAGGTCGTGTTTCAGCCATGGCTGCCAGGCTTGAATAGCTCATTCGACATGGGAGTGAACATACGCATTGAGCCCCTGTCGGAAAATAGAGATGTCTAGTTGTCCGACCGCCCGCCGTAACAGGCCGACGAGTTGGTTGGAGTGACGCTACATATGTGAAGTGCTCTCATTCCATAATGTGATAGCCAAGTCGATCATCAAACTACCACGGATGTGGCCCCAAAGTGTTGAAAGCCGTATTCAGTCCACATGCATGGCGGAAGAAACACTCGAGATGTGGCGCGTGTTATAAAAAGCTCCTATCGGAGATTCGCTTGAAGGTGTTTAACACCAGACCCCAGTCGACCGAGGCAGAGCGAAATCACCGAGGCTTATCAACTACCCCAGCAAACCTTACTTTTGAGTCATGCAGCTGCGGTCCACGACAGGCTCTCACAGAAACCGACTTGCCTAATGACCACTGGAACCGTAACATCATCATGTGAGCTTTCCAACAGCCAAAATGAAGAGGCTCAAAGTGCAAGATCAGTAGTTCACTCAAAAACCGACCGACTGGAGAAGCCGACCCCAAAATGGTCGGCATAAAATCTCACCTGACACCCACGTCTCCAAACACGCTACTGACATTCGAAACACTATCCTGTTTTTACACTATTGCACATGGCCTCCTCAGCAGATTTTCTGAGCTACAATTTCGCCAAGGTTCGATGCTCTGGGACATGATCATGATAATCGAAACATGGCTCGACGACGAAATCACTGATGTCGAGATTGCCTTATCAGGCATGTCCGTCCTACAAAATTATCGACCAAGTAGGGTAGGCAGCGTACTTTGGTACTGTCGCAGAGAATTGCCGTTCGAGCTCGTTAATAACCCATAAAGTTGTTTACTTGCTTTGGTACCGCTTGCAAGTCAGACGTGGTGACATATGTTTGGTGGCCAACGTATACCGCCGCCCGATATCAAGTGTAGAAATGGACAGCCGTTTA